GTTGGCAGTTTTACCACCCCACCTCGCGCCGTGTTCTGTCCTCCCAGGACGTCACGTTTGACGAGTTGGTTCCGTACTACCGTCTCTTTCCCTACCGCGCTGCCCCCCTCCCCCCCCCCGCCGCTCTTCCTCACGCCTGGTCCCCCCCCGGTAGACCCCCTCCCCCCTCAGGGTCCTGCCCCCTCAGGTGTGTCCCAGGTAGACGCAGTCAAGCCTGTCGAGGTAGCTGTTGACTCTGGTGCTGCTAGGGGTGCTGAGCCTGCGGGTGCCGGGTCTGGGGGTGCTGAGCCTGAGAGTGTGGAGCCTAGGGGTGCTGAGTCAAGGGGTGCTGAGCCTGGGGTTGCTGAGTCTGGGGGTGCGAAGCCTGCGGGAGCTGGGCCTGCTCGTGTGGAGTCTGGCGGTGCTGGGCCTGGAGGTCCTTCGTGTGCTTCGTCCCGGCGGGAGCTACCCTCTCCACAGGAGCTGCGCGAGTGGTTTGCTCGGTGCTGGAGCCGTGCTGCTGGAGCTGGTGGTGCTGCCGGTGCTGGAGGTTCTACTGCTGCAGGGGGTGCTGGTGCCACGAGTCCCGGAGGTGCTCGTACTGGAGGTACTGGAGCTGCTGGGTCTGGTGGTGCTACTGGTGCAGGAGCTACTGGCGGAGCTGGAGCTGGTGGAGCCGCTGGAGCTGGAGCTGCTGGAGGTACTGGAGTTGGAGGTGCTGCTGGAGCCGGTGCTCCTGTGGGTGCTGGAGTTGGCGCTACTAGAGCTGCTGGAGGTGCTCCTGACGCTGGGGGTGCTGGTGCTGTCCCTGCTGGTACTGGAGGCGCTGCTCGGCCGCGGCCGTACTTCGTTCCGCTCCTTGAGCAGGTTCTTGGTCTTCAGCCTTCTTCTGGTCCTGCTCCTTCCTTAGAGTGTCCACCGCCTGTCCAGTCCGAGTCACAGTTACAGCTAGCCTCCCCACTGCCTGCTCCTTCTCCCTACAATGGTCCTACTGGAGGTCTTGCTGAGCGTTGTGAGCCTGAGTCTCGTCCTGCGTCGCCTGTTCGTGTTGCTCGCACTGGTCGTCGTGTTCCGCATCAGCGTCCTCCTGCGGTCCCAGGCACGCACCAGATGGCACTGCGTCCTTCCACTTCTCCACTTCGTGTCCCTTTGCCGTCTCCTCCTGAGTCCTCTCTTCCTGCTCTTGCTGACCCGGAGTCCGACTCCCTTCGCGCTGCCAGTCCTTCTGTCACGCGTCTCCAGGCCATTGTTGTCACTGACCCTTCCTTTGAGTCCACTGCTGCGTCTGCCCTAGTTGCTGAGCTTGTCGACTTCGCTGCTCACTGTCGTCTAGACTACGCCGCTAGTCTTGTTGCTGAGTCTGAGTCTGTCTGTCCTCCGTTCGTCGGGGGTGAGTGTGCTCTTAGCACGGACGTCCTAGAGGACAGGCAGGAGGAGTTCCATTGTTTTGCTGCTGCTTTACCTCATCTCGTGTCCATGCTGCTTGCCCCTGAGGGAGACCCGGATGCACCAGACATCCCGACCCCGCGCTCTTACACAGTGGCGATAGAGGGTCCCTACTCCTCTCAGTGGCAGACAGCCATGGATGCAGAGATGGCTTCCTGGAAGTCCACAGGCACCTACGTCGACGAGGTTCCCCCACCTGGGGCGAACATCGTCAGTGGCATGTGGATTTTCAGGGTGAAGCGGCCGCCGGGTTCTCCGCCTGTCTTCAAGGCGCGTTACGTCGCTCGAGGCTTCAGTCAGCGGCAGGGAGTTGACTACTTTCAGACCTTCTCCCCGACCCCGAAGATGACCACGCTGCTCAGCGTGACTACGAGCTTCACTCTCTTGACTTCAGCACTGCTTTCCTACAGGGCAGCCTGCACGAGGAGATCTGGCTGTGCCGTCCACCAGGCTTCACTGGGTCGTTTCCTCCTGGTACCCAGTGGAGCCTTCGGCGGCCAGTCTACGGTCTCCGCCAGCCGCCCCGTGAGTGGCACGACACACTGAGGACTACGCTTGCGGCTCTTGGATTCGTCCTTCTACTGCTGACCCGTCGCTGTTTCTGCGCACCGACACTTCGCTGCCGCCGTTCTACATCCTCGTGTACGTCGAAGACTTGGTCTTTGCTACTGCTGACACTTCTGGACTCGCCCACGTGAAGTCCGAGCTGCAGAAGAGACACACGTGCACAGACCTGGGTGAACTGCGCAGCTATCTTGGCTTGCAGATCACCCGGGACAGAGCACGGCGCACCATTACCCTGACTCAGTCACACATGGTGCAGCAGGTCCTTCAGCGCTTCGACTTCACGTACTCCTCGCCTCAGGCCACTCCTCTGTCTACTCGCCACTCGCTCTCAGCTCTGCCTTCGGATGAGTCTGTAGAGCCGAGTGGCCCGTACCCAGAGCTTGTTGGCTGCCTCATGTACCTGATGACCTGCACTCGACCTGACCTAGCATACCCTCTTAGCATCCTTGCACACTATGTTGCTCCTGGGAGACACCGACCAGAGCACATGGCTGCAGCGAAGAAGGTGTTGCGCTACTTGTGCAGTACGTCGGGCATGGGGCTCGTGCTTGGAGGGCGGAGTCCAGTGGTCCTCACTGGTCACGCAGACACGTCTTGGGTTGACGACCTGGCTACGCAGCGGTCGTCACAGGGTTACACCTTCAGCCTTGGTTCCGGCTCTGTTTTGTGGCGGTCTACGCAGGGGCCATGGCTGCACAGGAGTTACGCTGGCTCACCTACCTGCTAACTGACCTGCGAGAGCCGCCTCGTTCTCCTCCAGTTCTCTACGTAGACAACAAGGCCATGCTGGCCTTGTGTCGGGAGCATAGACTGGAGCACAGAACGAAGCACATTGCTCTTTGCTACTTCCTTCCTCGTGAGCTGCAGCAGCGTGGTCAGCTGCGCCTTGCTTACGTGGCCTCTCAGGCCAACACTGCTGATATCTTCACCAAGGCACTTCAGCCTTGTGATCATCAGCGCTTCTGTACTATGCTAGGTCTTGTGCCTACTTGGCCTCACTTGCTTACCTCTTGACTTTACTTGTACTGTGATCTATATATACCTGCCTTGCTTGTTTACTTTTATATATAATCCTGCATGTGACCTAGCCTTGTGGCCTTTGAACCTGTGCTCGGAATGTGTGGTGACGTTGTGATCCACCCTGAGCTTGCTTTGCTTTGCTTTGCTTGACTGGTCTTGTGACCCCTTGTTCTCCCCCACTTTGCCTATGGGGGTGTGTCAAACTCATCTGCTATAGTCTCTCTAGGCTGTAGTGGGGTAGACACTATAGGGTACAACACTTCTAGGTTTCCTACTTGTACCTTCATGTTTCCAAGTCAACTCATTCCTCATTCTTCACATCAATCCCCCTTTTCCCGAGTCGCGCCTGTAAATTTGCAAATTTGCGCGTCACAAACAGCTGATGTATCTCGACTTTGTGCGACTGATTAGGAGGTTTTGTTGGCCCAATTTTATTGGCCCGTACCATGAGGGGTCGAGCCTGTGTGCTTTGCCGCCGAGCAACGCTGTAAAAATGAAGCGCCAGAAACCAGCGCTCTATGTTGGTCTAGATCAACACACACACAAGTGCACAGCTGTTGCACATGTACAAATATGCACAGAAATCCTGAAACACACACACACCTATTCTAGAAGCTGATGCAACCATGGCAGAGCTTTGCGCTGTGTCATTCCTCATGCGCCTCCTAGTCGCTTGGATAGCGTTCTACTACACGATTTTTTTTTACGTCGTTGCCAAAGCGGTTGGCGGCCTGCTTGAAACCGATGTCTTCACCAATGAGGTGTCCACGGCGTCCAGCACACAGGGCTCCGAAAGGTCGGCCGAGCGGACTAGACGGGCAAGTCTCCGCCGGCGCAGATACAAGCTGTTGCTCGAGGACCTGCATGGCATGGGAGAGACAGAGTTCAGAGATCTCTTCCGCATAAACCGTGTGATACTCGAGTACGTCGTGAAGGGCATGGAGTACTACGTGGTGCCGTACATTGAACGCTATTTCATTGCACACGAGGTGGCGAACCTGGTACGGTACCTGGCAAGCGGAATGTGGTACATGGACCTTGCTCACCTTATTGGCTTGTCGAAGACCCTCTGTCACGCTCTCGTAGACGTCTGGTTGATGCAATTCCCGTCCGTGTTCAAGCAGCTGTGGGTCCACTTCCCGACCCGTGATGACCTGGATGAGATGGCCGACGAATTGCGCGCCATCAAGGGTGTACCTGCTGTGGTGGGGGCTATCAACGGCACACGCAAACACATGAAAGGCATGGAGGGACACAGACAGGAATACTACACGCGGAAGTCTGCATACGCGGTGCAACTGCAGGTGATATGTGATGCGCGTGGCATCATATGGGACTACCTGATCGGATACCCCTGGAGCGCACACGATCAAAGGGTGTTCATGAACAGTGCTTTACACGAAAGGTTGCACAACGGCGACATAGCGCCTTATCAAATCGTGGGGGATGTTGCCTACCCACTCATAGATTTCTGCTTGACCCCACTACATGCACCCTGTGAGGGCCTAATGGAAGACTGGGAGCAGTGCTTCAACTACTGCCAGAGCGCAACGCGCATGGCGGTAGAGCGCTGCATCGGCGCCCTCAAAGGTAGATGGCGTGTGCTTGCAGGTGCATCTTGCTCCATCATCCTTCACAACATGTGCAAGACAATGGGTCAAGTGAGGCGCGTGAACATGGTGTGGGCAACCTTGCTCCGAAACCGGGACCCATGGTGGACACGTCGCGCCGTTGCAGATTTCAAGTGGAAGCAGTGTGTCCCCTGCAATCAATCAACCCTGAAAGAGAGGCGGAAGCGGCTCGGGGAGGCACTAGAGGCGTCGTACCTTACTCGGCGTCGCCGCAAACCCACACCTCCTCGTCCGCATCCGGGTTAGCCGCGCCGTCTGCCGGCCCCTTGTGACGGAACCATCCCTTATCGCGGGCTGTGTGTCAACAGGCGCGGGGACATGGTTGCGCGTCTTGGCAGCTGCCACGGTCTGCTGCAGTCATTCACGCGCAATCCGCTCGTCCTGCTGCAACCAGGCGCGCACGAGGCCTTCGAGCTTGTTCATTGCGTCCGTGTGGCACCCCTTGATCGTCTCACAGACGAGCTTGGCGGCGGCCATGGTGGCAGTCTCAGCAACTCGCGGGCGCTTGGAAGGAGGCGCGGTCTGCGGAGGAGGGGCTGGGCATGCAGCCACAAGGGGGAGTGTGGATTATGCTTTGTAGGCTTGATGGTGGCTCCATTGTAAAACGGCGCAAAATAATAGAGCACGTCAAACACAATTGAAGTCTCAAAAAAAAAAAAAAAATGAAACACGACTTACCCGAAAACGTTGGCGTGGACGTGCACAGTGCAAATGTAGACGGCACCACGAAACCGCAAGGGACATTGACATGTGTCGCACCTCCGCCGTCCACGGTGTGCGGGTTGGCGATGGCACGATTGTGCTGGTAGAGCTCCATGTACTGGAACCACGGCGGCTTGAACACCGTGCCCTTGCCGGACGCCTTCTCCCCTTTCTTGAGCTGCTTGTAGATGCAGACAAGATTGCGCCACTGCTTCTGCACCGCGTTGGAGCCGCGCACCCACCCTGGATTCTCCTTCTCGATGTAACTGACGAGGTGAGCCCAATACTGGGAGCCTTGCTTGCCGACGAGCGGTTCGAGTTCGTCCTTCATAAACCATCGCGCGGCCACCAATATAGTGCTCTCTAGGTTCGACCAGACGGTATGCTTCTTAGGGACGTGGGTCAGGGTTTTCGGAGCGGGACGAGCAGGCTCGCCACCCTTAGCGGCGGTCTTGACGGTGGAAGCAGACTTCCCACGGCCGCGGCGAGTCGTCGGAGCCTCGGGCTAGGTCTCCTTAGGTGCTTCCTCGTCCTCGTCCGCTGCGTCATCAGCCTCATCGTCCTCATCAGAGTCGAACATCCCTTTTTCCTCCTCTTCACCCGAGTCCGCCTCGTTGTCAGTGCCAAAGGCGTTTTTGTTGTAGTCGCTATCGTCGGCGTCAACACCATACGCGTTGTCGTCGTTAACGCGCAAAGATCCGACCCTGCAGGCGTCGCGGCGTCCGCACGTCGGGACGTCACGCGGAGCTTGGTATGAGGTGGCGCCTGCGGAAGGGATTCCCTCAGGCAGCGGGCCGGCGGGCTTGCGGCCAGGGCTCTCGTTAGCCGACTAACTTAGTCTGTTGGTCTAGGTATTCAGGCACGAAATGTGTAGTTCATATGCTACGGCAGACTTTAGCTCAGGGGCCATATGAGAGCCCAGACAAATGCTATATCGTCATATGTTTTTTCAGGAGACTTATAGCAATTAGTCTGATCAAGCAGAAGTCGCGTGTTGTTTCGTCTGAAAGAGACAGAATGGCCTAGTTGGCCATTGGAGCAGCGATGTGTTGCATGTATGATCACGCGGAATGATTTTTGCGTGTGGGCACAGGGGTGAATTTCGGATTCTTCCTGCCAGCGCATTCTGCATCTGACTCAGTTGCTGCCACGCATCTGTCGGATAGCTGTTGTCAGCGCCGCTGCCAGGCTGTGGCCTCCTCCCTCGCTGGCAGATGGCTTGGACAGTCGGTGCGCAACAAACAAAGCATGCACCCGCCATTGCACTTTCGTGAAACCCTCGTGAGAGAGGCGCGGTTCGTGACAAGATGGTCCCTAACCCTCCTTTCTTCTCCAAGCCTTTCTTTGACAACCGTCTTCTCTGCCTTTCAATCCGTGGCGTGACGCCTAGCCCGTGGCTTAGCTCCTCTCTCCCCTTAGCTTGTTCCCATCCCGTATAGAGTGGCTTTGTTGTTGCTGCCTCATGTGACTCACCACACCAGGCCATGCTATCCGAACATGGCGCCCTCGCCTCAACCGACAGTGCTAGGCGTGATTCACCCGCGGTGCCTGAGGAGCCCAGGGTATCTGCGTTAGATTTCCTGACGCATAAAGCTCCGGCCGCGATTCCTGTGGCCACAACTGCCGCAGTAGAGACGCCTCCTCCTGTAATTCCTCCCCCCAACGTCATTACATCCTGCAACAACGAGCCTATCATCCCCTCGCCATCCACGTCAGATGCGGCAGACACCTGGACCCAGCCTAGCACGGCTGAAGCTGAGTCTTCGCCGCCGCCCGTTTCGGCATCTGTGGCTACCACTCTACCTGCGATCTCTATTTATCGCATTAGAGCAGGGAACGGCAAATACAAACAGCGAATTCTGAGTTTTGCCCGTTCCGCTACAGGTGTCCCCCCGGCTACCGTCCCCCGCTTTAGCACACCTCGTCCAGGCCCATCAAAACCAGTCGCCGCTGACGAGGACGACAAGTATCCCCGCGCCTTGACCGTCGAGCAGAGGCAGGAGAAGGCGAACAAGAAATGGCTCAAGCACTTCCTGTGGCTCATCATCTCGCAGACCTCATGGTGCACGGAGACCCCAGCTACCAGTACGGGCGCGACGGGGAGGGTGGGCTCAACATTCAACGACAGACGATGCGGAAACACCAACATTCAATCAAGCATGAGGCGTTAGTGGACCGCCAACAGCTCCGAGACGGCAAGAATGCTGCTCAGAAGTCGATTGTCGACTTCGAAAACGGTGACGCAGAAGCCAACCGTTTGCCTAAGCTCATGGCAACAGTTATCCTTATTTGCATAAGTGACTCACCCATTGTGCTGTTTGTGACCCTCGTCCAGTTCATGGCAGAGATGGGCACGCCCAACATGCCCCTGAAGGATTCCGGCACGTACTACAGCAAGTAAGTTCTTAGTTTTGGGGGACCGTCCGGTTTAAACCACGTTACTAGTTAATTTCTTTCAAATCGTTGCAGGTATGGGTTCGCACAGTTGGTTAAGACACTCCCTCCGCGCTCAACAGATGAAGCACATCTGGGAGAGTCCTTACCTGGGCATTCAATTGGACGAGAGCACGGACCGTCGGTGCAGAAAGCACCTTATCGTCTACCTGTCATTCCTCCACCGCAACACGCCCGTCACACATTTTTTCGCGCTCCTAACAGTTGAGCAGTGCGATGCTGGTTCCCTGCAGGCAGTCCTTCTAACCCACCTAGAGTCTACCGGGCTCGACCTTCAGCGCATCAGTGGCATCAGCACCGACGGTGCAAGCGTCATGGTCGAATCTCAGACGGGCCTGGTGGCATGCCTTCAAGCATGGATTCCACACCTCGCCGGGTTTGTAACCCTGTGATGTTATTCTTACCATTTATGCGTTGCATATTTATCCAACTTCTCGCTTTTTCCGTGTTGTGTCAGGGAAGCTTTTGGCGGCAAAGGATGCAGCTGAGGCCTACCCCGACCTTGACATCGTCGACCATTCCTTAGCGGAGCTCCTTGGACGGTCGGGCAACTTCCACCTACGCTTCAAAGAGCTGCAGGAGGTGCTCTGTGAAACGAACCTGGAGTTGCAGGGCATCCACTGCGTCAGGTGGCTTTCACGTGGTCTGGTGGTTCAGCGTCTGGCTGACAACCTTCCAGCTGCTATCATTCTGTTGTACGAGAACGACCCGAAGGCGTACCTCCTTGTAACCAATTTGAAATTCCATTTCATGTTGTTTTTCTTGGCTGATGTGTTGAAGGAACTCAACGCACTCAACCTCAAGTTCCAGCGACGGCAGGTACGCTGTTACGCCTCTTGCTGTCAAGAGTTTCTTGTGTAGATGAACCGTGTTATTGTGATATTGACCCGTGCATGCCTTTCCACTGCCCTCTCATATGTGTGTGGCAGGTCGACGTGACACACGTGTTGCAGATGGTGGACAACAGTAGGCTCACCCTCCGCAACCGTTACCTGAGTGACGCGAACGACTTCGGAGATGGGAGCAACGAGCTGAGCGCCTTCTTGGCGAAGCATGCCTCGTCGGAAAAGAGGGAAGTGAATGTGACATGCACCGACTCGACTGGGACCCCGACTACTCATGAGTACACCCTCCATGAACAGAACATTAAGGGTCTGAAATCTGGGCCGGGCCTGGACGACTGCATCACACTGGCGAAGGGGTACGTGAAGGAGCTGCTGAAGCGACTGGAGAGCCGGATGAAGGATCTGGGCTCTCTCGACGGCGCCAAGCTGTTCACGCAGGGGGCATACCCGAAATCTAACTCGAAGCGACAGCGTCAGTTTTTGCAGTGGCTGGAGGCTCTCCGCAATCTGTTTAAGCGGAAACCGTCCGACCGTGACACACTGCCTCGTACGTCTTTGATTTCGGTTGTGCTTGATTGAGTTGTCCACGTTGTTTGTGTCGCCATATGCTTCGTTGGTTGCATGAGGTTGTTTACTTTAGAACAACAGCTCGTATTCTCATTATAATCGTTTCTGTTTCACACCCCGCCACCAGGAATCAACTGGACGAGAGCACAGAAGGAGATCAGCAGTTTCACCACGATCATGTCGACCCATCACCGGGAGCTGAGCTTCAAGGACGGCCTGAAGCAGATGCTCAGCTCGCCCGACTGGTGCACGGCCTACCCCAATCTGGTCCGCCTTTGGATGGCGGTCGCAGTGCTGCCCCTGAGCACCGTGGAGTGCGAGCGGGGCTTCTCCCGCCAGAACGTCATTAAGAGCTGGCTACGCAGCAATCTCAATGACGCGAAGCTTGGAGACCTGATGACCATCTCCATGCTGAAGTACGAACCTGACTGGCCCACCCTTGTAGAGCTGTGGAGAGGTGCGAAGAAGAGACGTCCAGACAAGGATGTGGTGATGGTGCATGCGCAAAGGCCTGTGAAGCGCACGAGGAAGACCCTTGCGATGCTGGCCGCGAGGCAGGCGGCAGCAACAGCAGCAGCAGCAGCAGCAGAGGCTGATGTGTCAAACTCATATGCTGCTTATTGTGTAGGCTATAGTGGGGTAGCCTATATGAGGTACAACCCAATTAGGGTTTCCTACTTGTACCCATCTTGCTGCAACCCATCTCCTTGTCTCTGGTCTTCCCAGGTCCCTGCCTTCCCTGTGTCGAGGGGCGGCAGCGCGCCACTCCTCACTCCTCCTCGTTCCCCCCCAACGACGGCTCCCCTGCAGAATCTCCACCTAGACGTGTGGGGCCCAGCCCGCGTCCGTGGACAGGGCTACGAGCGGTACTTTCTGCTCATCGTCGACGACTACACGTGTTACACCACAGTCTTCCCCTTGCGCCACAAGGGGGAGGTCCCTGATGTTTTGATCCCTTGGATCCGAGCTGTTTGTCTCCAGCTCCGCGAGCGCTTCGAGACAAACCTGCACTCTGACAGAGGTGGTGAGTTTTCCTCCGACCTCTTGCGGGCCTTTTGTCGTGGGGAGGGAATTCGCCAGACATTCACGCTTCCGGCCTCTCCGCAGCATAATGGGGTTGCTGAGCGCTGCATTCGCTTAGTCATGAAGGTCGCTCACACCTCCATGATCCATGCGGCTGCCCCCCATTTTCTGTGGTCGTTTGCGGTCCGCTCCGCTGCACATCAGCTCAACCTCTGGCCCCGTGTCTCCTTGCCGGAGACCTCGCCGACACTGCATTGGACGGGAGAGGTTGGTGCGTCGGTGTTCCGGGTCTGGGGAATGTCATGCTTTTGTCCGCGATACTTCCGCAGACAAGCTCTCCTCCCGCGCCATTCTCTATGTCTTCCTTGGCTTTCCCCCTGACGCGCCTGGCTGGCAGTTTTACCACCCCACCTCGCGCCGTTTCCTGCCCTCTCATGACGTC